AATGCCTTTGCATAGTCAATAAAACACAAGTAAACATCTTTCTGGTATTCTTGTAGACTGGGTGGGGGTAATTATGTTTGCACTGCAGAGAGCCAAATGAATAGTCTGCTCTCCATTTAGGAATTTAGTGGTACCCTGATAGTGTCTGGTAGCATAGTGCCTAAGGCACTTGACTGCTAACCAAAAGGCTGGCGGTTCAAACCCATCAGCCACTCCTTGGAAGGAAGGTTGGGCAATCTACTTCCATAGTGATACTGCCTTGGAAACCCAAGGAGGAGGTTGACTATGAGTCCGGTCCGACTCGACGGCACATAACAACAACAACTGATAGTGTCAGTGGCCAGGGCAGCCTGATTTGCTGGGACAGGGCATAAGCTTTACCAAACCCTGACCTTGTTAAAATGCTCTTTTGATAAAAACAAGTTGCTGTGGAGTCAACTGCAACTCACAGCAACCCCACACGTGTCAGGACAAACTCCTCCATAGAACCATATCTCTCGATCCTTTCTTCTAAGGTACCTCTCAAAAAACAACCCAAACCCACTGCCATTGAGTCAATTCCGACACATAGCGACCCCTTTTGGTTTTCCGAAGTGGTAAATCTCTATGGAAGCAGATTGCCCAGTCTTCCTTCCCCGGAGTGGCCGTTGGGTTTGAACCGCCAACTGTCTGGTTAGTAGTCAAATGCCTTAGGCACTGGCCACCAGAGCTCCCCTAGGTAGGCTCAAAGCTCCCAACCATGTGGTTAGCGGGTGACGCATTCACCGTTGGTACCACCCAAAGACCGTGCTCGTTTCTTTTCCATGGTTTTGCAGAGCTACAAGCACACTTTGATGCTGCATCTGAGATGGAAGGGGTAGGTAAGGACGCAGAGATGGATGAGGACTACCCTGTGGCAGAGCCAAATGGAAGCAGAACAGCTGGTACCTTCAGAGGGAGCAGACCCAGCTCAGCAGGCTTCCAGGAGATCCAGCCCCACCACTATGCCCACCAGCACCTGAGCTGCCAACTGGGCAAGCTCAGGCAGGAGACCACCAGGTAAGAATCTTCCAGGCATTGTACTTGGAAGAGTGGTAGGGTAGGAGGATGACAGAACCACAAGGCGATTGGCTGAATTGTTCAATGGACAGCACTTTACCTGGGTCTCAGAAAAGCCTTGTGAAGCAAAAGTGGTTTGTTGTAAAGCATTTGAACCATTTATGAACTAGGCAAGGTTTTCTCAGCTTAAACCAAGGCACTATATTCTCCTTTTCTTTTCTTTCTTTTTTTTTTTTAAAAAGTACAAAGACTCAGAAGTATAGTGCCTTGGCCCAGGTCACAGAGGAATTAGCTATACAAAAAGCATCTCCAAACGTTTTTCACTGAGGTGGGATCCCTGGCATGGTGTGTGGGAACCAGAGGCTCAGCAGTGACCATCTATAGCCTGTCATTGCAGGAGTAACAATTTTGCGGTCATTGTCCAGGGGTGTGTGTATCCCATAACCTCAGCCCCAAAGTCTTCCTACTCATCTTTTTCTCTTCCCCATGATTTTTCTCAGTTCCTTAGCAGGCAGTAGAGGGCTGCCTCCCAACCAGGAGAGCCTGTGCCACTCAGTGATCCCCCAAGAACACCTTCCTGACATATAGTAGGTGCTTAATAGATACTCCCTAAATGTATTAAATGCACTGATTCCTCTTTGCTCTGGGGATCACATTGTCTGTGGGCTGTAATATATATAACGCTCAGCCACAGGGAACCAGTTGGCATTTGTTCCAAATGCTGCTTTGTAGCCATGGGTCACTGGTGATGCTTGCTCATCAGTACTGCACAGCCATACAGATGTTTCTGGAGAGAAGTTGAATACAACCCCAGGGATCTCTGAAATTTAATCTGAAGCAGATCAATGGGATTTTAATTGATAGCAGCAGAATTTTTTTTTTTTTTAAAGGTTTACATTGTGAAAAGTATGAAAGGCAGTAGGAATACTTAGCAATATAAGATGCTTTTTCTGATGAGGACTCCAATCACCAAGTTCATCAAATGCTGTATGTGGGTTCAAAGGTTAGTCCTGGCCACCGTGGAGCCATTCCGTCTTCCAGTTTCAGGATTAGCCATCAGCAATCTTCAGCCAGCGTGTTAATGCCTGTCGCTTAGCAAGCGTGCTGTTCCTCCACGGTGGGCTTATCCTTGCTCTCCAGAGGCACGTGAGCTATGATGTCAGGGTTGCACTAAGCCAAAGGAGCCATGGGCAGAATGACGCTAAGTGGACTCGTGAGGGTCCCGGGCCCTCTCCACCCCAAGCTCCCTTAGGTCCTGGTTACCGAGCCCTTCCTCCAGTCTGGGTGGGCTCAAGGCAGCAGTGCTCCAGCCGGAGTGTGACAGTTGGCTCCTCAGCTAGTGGAAGAGGTGGGTTGTTTCAAGTGGTGGTGTTGGGGGGCAGCACGGGCAATAACGTCAGCACTCCTTATTGCCAAGCACCAGCACCTTGCCTGTGCCGTCACACTTCCTCCCTGTTTTGTCAGGGTTTATTTACATATTGTTGCAGTGACTTTTGAGAGCAAAAAGTGCACCAGCATGGATCATATAAACTAATGAAAAAATAACTAGTAAAGGAGTCCTAGTTCCTAGATGCCCACACAAAGGAGCAAAGCTGGAAAGGGCGCTTATGTGCAGGCCCCTCCCCCTGGCATAGATAGGGGTGAGCTAAATGTTTGAGGCTCAGCTAGGCCACTCCCTGCCTTTCTCATCCCAGGGAGAACTAGGAACACAAGCTTGGATGTCAGGAGACCATCCCGATGGGAAAAGCCCAGCCAGTGGGCAAATTACAATCACTTAACTTCCCTTCAGCTCCTTTAATTAGGAAGACAAGTTTAAATAACCAGATTACCCTTCCGTGGCTGCGCTCTACCGATCACCGTCAAGTTAACTTTTGGTTCGGGATACATTTTGAGATAAAATGTACCCTCCCTCTGAGTGCTCTTCAAGTGGAGGGTAAGCACCAGTTTCCCCTATACAGGCTGAAACCTCAGTCACAGAACCTTGACTTCTCTCATTGGACTGGCTGGGGTGGGGGTGGTTGTGCTGGTCCCCCCTCCAATATTTAGCAATGATGTGTATGAATGGTGTATTCATCAGGTTCTCTGGATTTTTTTTTTTTTTTAAACAGACTTTTGGAAAACTTAATTCAGAGAGAGCAAGAGTACCAGAATTTCTTACGGCAAACTCTGGAACACAAAACTCAGGAATTATGCCACCTTCAGTTATACCTCAAATCTAACGGTAAGAGTCACTTTCCACTGGGTCCGATTGATTTGTGTGTGTGAGATGGTTTAAAATCTGGCTGATAAAAGTACTATGGTCAACCTAGAAATGGTTTAGGCTATGCATTACAAACTACTGTTCCAGTAGATTCTACAAAGTCATGTGCTGTGGAGTCAATTTCAACTCATAGCAACCCCATGTGACAGAGAGTTTCCTAGGCTGTAATCTTTATGGGCGTGAATTACAGGTCCTTTTCCCCCACAGAGCTATGGGTAACTTCAAACTGCCAACCCTTTGGTTAGCAACCAAGCACACTACTGGTAACAGATGAATCACAAGTGCGTGATGCTAGCTGAAAGCCAGATTTAAAAGGCTACATACATACTATGATCCCATTTATGCAGTATTTGCAAAAGGCAAAATAAAGCAGAATGGCTGGAGCTGTGGTTATCGTTCGCATTTGTCAAAATTTATAGCGCTGTACAGCTAATTATGAGGAGCTCTGGTGGTGTAGTTGATAAGGCATGCTAACCAGAAGGTTGGCAGTTCAAACTCACCAGGTGCTCCCTGGGAGAGAGATGAGGCCATCTCCCTCGGTAAAGATATTACAGCCTTGCCTTGGAAACCCAGTGGGGGACTGCTATGAGTTGGAATCAACTCCATGGCAATGGGCTTGGTTTTTGGTTTGGTATACCCAGTATACCTAAAAATGATACTTTACTGCATAAAGTACATCTCAGTAAATCTGAGTTCCTCATTTTGTGCCACTTGGCAAAGAGCTATAGCTACTGCTTGAAATGAATAAGCTTTGAAGCAAAACCTCAATACTAAAACCCATTTCCCTACTCGACTTTCACTGCTGTTTAATAAAAAGGCATTGAAAGGCAGAAGAATAAGTATACATGGTGGAGGGCAGACAACATGTCAAAATCTAAACGAAATAATGTGAACTCAGGCAAAGATTATTTTACCCTCTAGAAACGGAATCTAAGAACTGAGTTATTGTTTAATATGTATTAGAGAACTGAGTGATACAGACTTGGTTCATTTCCTTTTCATATCAACACATTTATGAACTAGGTATTTGTTTTTATTATTTATTGCATCTAACTGGTTACTCTGGAAGACTTTGAGACATTAACATGCAAGAAAACACATTTCCAATCATGACAGGTGTTTTGGAAGCCCGAGAAGCCCGGCATGGCTTGAGTGGGCAGAGAGCAGATGGAGAGCTTGTGGACTGGTTGGAAGTTCAAGGAGCAGACACTGACACAATTGAAAAGGTAAACCAGTGATCATACAGCTATTCACAAGTTGTTGCAAAAGCTGCTCAGCACCTGTGTATCTGATGTTTGTTTCAGATTGCTGCTGAGGGCTATACGCTCTCTGATATTCTCAATGACATCACTAAGGAAGATTTAAGAGACCTGAGACTTCGGTAAGAATCACCTATAATGGAAAATGACTTTGTGCGTGATTGTCCTTTGAAGTACTGGAAAACAAAGTGCTGCTACCTTTCCTCCTTTGACTGAAACTCCCTCCCTTTCCTTGGGCTTATTCAGAAACCAAAACACTCAACATAGCTCCCTCTCTGGGGTTGTGCCAGATTCAGGTTGGGAAAAAGCTGAAGGGCTAGAGGTGGGAAGACAAAGGAAGTGCTTTTCCCACCTGTCTTCTGCTGCAGGTGCTGGTTGGGAGTGGGGCGAGGAAAGATACAGGGATGCCAGGGGACTAGACCCCAATCCCTTTTCTGCATACTTCAGCCTGCAACCCTCCCTTCCCCCATGATTTTCAAACCCTGCTCTGCATGAACCCATCAGCACTACCTATTGTATGTACTTTCAAGTCCATGTCCCACTACTGGGGCACACCTGTCACCTCCACATGTGAAGAGAATAGATTCATATTTTAGTTAAGTTTTTTGGGGAGTGTATTTTTAAAACTAGATGCCAAATGTAAACATATCTAGAACAATATGCTTTTGAAATTCTTGGGGCAAAAATTGCAGAAGTATTTTCTCTTGTTGCTTTGAATTCAGTTTTTCCTATGACTCTTATTAAAAAAACACTGCCATTGAGTCATAGTGACTCACAG